TATCGGAAGAGATAAATTTGGAAAAGTTTAAATTTTAAAATATTAAATTAAATGAATTTTGTGCAATAAATTCATTGACAAGTGCTAATTTTTGAATGAAACAAATGATTATTTACCTACTTTACTTTGGAAGATATAAAATTTCTCATAATTGAAATTAAGTTTATCATTAGATGAACTTCATCATAGATATCAATGCCAAAATAGAAACGGCAAAAAATAGTAAATATCACTAATTTGTAAATAACCAATTGTCATATGTTAAAAATTGGATAAAACCTATTTATTATTATTAAAGCCTCCTGAAAAAATTTATGTTATTCATTCTTCGAATTGTTCCAAAGAATAAAATAATTAATTATTAATGAAATTTTTTGTCGACTTTCTATAAAATATTTTGCTTAAACAGCAATAATTTCCAAATATATTATAAATTAGACTTATACTAACAAATACTTGACATACAACAAATAAAAAAATTAATAATATTATAAATAATCTAATATCAATCATTAATAATAATAACATTCTCCTATATCATATTCTAATCTAAAATGATATATACAAATAATAATATTCGTTAAAGAGCGATATCTTATATTATGTTTTAATTAACATGACATCTTTCCTTAAAAACAAAATTTAATCAAGTGAGACATTTTTCAAAACTAAAATTCTAAAACCGTTATCCTTCTATTAGTACAACTCTAAAATCTTATTACAAGATTTTCTTTAGTTGCGTACAACAACATACAATAATTTCAACACCACAATCACAATAATTAATTAGTCATTAAAATTTTCGGGTAAAATAATAATTTAAAAAGATGTTACTCGCATCATTCATGATTGAATAATGACTCCACAACTTTAAAACAGTCATTTATATATAAAAAAAAAACAAGTGAGAAGAATTAATTAATACCGCTAGTAAAATGATTTTAACGCTTCTAATAATAACAGGAAAAACAATGTAAAAAAAAAAACTAAATATAGAGGACTCAAATATGAAAAAAAGAAAGAAAAGAAAAACTCTTCCACGTTATCTTATTTTCACATTTTAGCGCCAAGTCTCAGAAGTCAGAACCCTGCTTCACTACACTAGGGTTTTGCTTAGCTGCTGCCATTCCGTTTCAAGGAAATGGGAACCGGTTCGGCCTTAGCCGGAAAAGAAGTCCCCGTCGTCGGAAGCGACGTCGTTCGCTGGATCGATCTCTCCGTTCCTTCTTCCTCCAACATTGCCGCCGCCGACGCCGCCGCCCCTCCCACCGCCGACGACCGCGCCTCCTGCTTCGTCATCGGAGATCCTCCTACTTATCTCATCTGGTTCACTTCCTCTCTCTTTCTCTCTTGCCAATTTCAATTTCCGCGTTTCAAAAACTCACCGTTTCACTAACCGCAGGAAAATCCACAAGGCTCAACCTCAGACTCTGGAGTTGCTCGAACTCACCGCTTCCAAAGAATTCCCGCGCGTGGGGTTGAGATTCACCTTCACGGACGCGCTTTGTCCCTTCGCATTCATTTGCAAAAACGAGGTTACTTCTTCACCGCTGTTGATTACAGTTCTCGTGTTTTATCTTTCATTTTTAAAATTTTATTTTCTTATTTGGTTGTGTTTTTCGATGATGCAGATTTCTGGTGCTTCTAGGTTCCCTTACTTGCTCTATGTGTTGACTGTGTCTGGCGTGGCTTACTTCTTGAGAATTCGAAATGTTTCTGCATACGCGTCTCTTTCCATTTTCCCTGTGAATGAGCTTTTGGAGGTTAATGTGCGTGGTTATATTCCTAATCACACGGCGGCGATAACGGCTGTGACAGCTACTGTTGGGGGTCTTCTTGTTGGCACGAGTGATGGTTCTGTTTTCTGTTTTCAACTTGGTGTAGTCGACCCTAGTGCTCCTGGTATGGTTAACTTGGCCATTTTCTCTCTGATCACATGTTTATTCTAGTATATGCATGCTTTTATAGTGTATTACATGTCCAATTGGAACTTAAGGTTGTATTCAAACTGCACCCTTAGATTGATGTAGGCTGGTTTTTGAGGGTTGTTTACTTTTGACGGTGGATTATAAAAATAGGGAAGAGTTCAGCGGTATAGCAACATATGTTTGCCTTTGATTGTGTTGGAGTTCTCCTCTTGTTTGACATTTTGTTGATATATATTTTATCAATGAATTTGGTTATTATTGAAGGTTTTGTGCGTGAGCTGAGGGATGAATCTGGAATCAGTCGCTTGTGGGGTTTAATATCACGGTATTTTCTTCTTAAATTCTAATGGCCAATAAATATGTTTGATATATTCTCCAATCTATTCTCTCTTTCTTGGATTTGAACCTTCCTCTTTGTTATGAATTATAAGACATTCATTTAATGTGTCTTCTAGGGGGAAAATGGTGGGTACTGTACAGGAGTTGGTAATTTTGGAGTTGCATGACAAAAAGTTTGTATTTGTGCTTCATTTGGATGGGACATTACGAATTTGGGATCTTGCATCTGGTAGCAGGGTCTTTAGTTATAACATGGGCATTATGACAATGGAAGGTACTGCCTACCTCTCAAATTTAATTCCATCCTATACTTGTTTACATTCATCCATTACCACACAGGCCTTCATAACAATCAAAGAGTGACTGGTAATTTTGATTTTGCAATGTTGTTTATATTAATGGGATAAATAAGGAAACTCGCCAGTTAATTTCTATATTCTTTTTTATATTCATGTTATGCTGTTTTTTTTTGGATCACCATATTATTAGTGTGAAGTATTCATCGACTTTGTCAATAATTAATTTATCCTAAGTTTTGCCAAGGAACATGACTGATTGCTTTTAGTAAAGTTTTTCTTCCCAACCATTTTTTTTTTCACTTGCAAGACTCAAATATGAGACTTTGCTTAATGGATCTGAGTTTAGTTCCACTTTGACATCGACATGTTGGTATATTCATGTTATGCTTGCTCCATTATTTGCACAAACACTGAAGAGGCCTGTTAATTTTGATTTCTGCAGTGTTCATGTTTATATGAATGGGATAAACATGGAAACTTGCCTGTGGGTTTTACATGGAGGTTTCAGTATTCCATGATTTGGCTTGTATTTATAGGTTTGTGAAATTTAGGGAAATGGTATGCACTTCATGGTATTAGGTTATTACAGATAATTTGGGGTGTTCATGGCCAACCACTGGCTGGCTTTGGTGTTATTCCAATGGCTTCTGGGAGACCTTTCAGCGTCTAGAAGTTGAACGGGTTTCTTACAACAAATTTAGATTGATTATTGTGAAAATAGGCTTCTGGGATTTAAGGCTTTATTGGTGATAGAAGAAATAGTGTTTCATGGCCTCTTTTGATATCTTGTATGGGACATTAAACTTGGATAAAAGGCAAGTGGTAGGTGCAATTTTGTAACTTCCTTTAGGAGTTCTAAAGAAAATAATTTTAGAAAATTTGAAGGGAAGGCCATATTGTACTAATAACGTTATTCTCTAATTCCATAATATTGATAGTACTATGTATTTGGGCTTCCTAGCATTGGGTATCAAAATAGGTGACAACGAATATTGTAGTGATAAAAAACTTTTGCTGGGATTAAAAAGAAAAACCTCTATGTATGGGAGGACCTCAAACATATTTAAGCCTAAATAGACCTACTAAGTTTGTCTGTGTAATTTTCTTGTGTCTATCAGAATGTTAAACATTGTCGCATATATGCTGGCATATTGAATACAATTGAAAGGGAATTACATTTGATCTCTACTTTTCTTTGTTTATTGATATATTATGTCCTCACAGTTCTTTTGTTTACTTTTACTTAAACACAGATCTGCTCTCACACTTCATTGTTTGTTCTTTAGGTGCTACCTTTGTAAGGTTATGGGTGGGCCCATCTTATCCCAATTCAAGTATAATTCCCTTGGCAATTTTGTACAGAGACACATCGGTATGCAATTAAAGACATTCTGATTTCTTACGCATTTTTTAAATACAAATATATAATGTTGATTATTTAGCTTATTTTCTGTTTACATGTACACTTGAAAGAAACTTCCATAGTTTTTAAAGTTTGATGATAGCATAAATGTCATAAACTTTTTCATTTAAATTGTTAAAAGAGGACATATATCTTAATTTAAGGGTTAAAAAATGCATATAAGGATTGAAGATTTCCTGTTTTAAGTGTATTTATCATTACAGTTCAAAATAATAACTTTACAGTCCTATTCAAACTTTTAAGCCTATGAAAGAATTCAATTTGGTTTCTTGTAATCCAGTGTTATGATGCTATCAATGGCAGATGGTGGAAGACCAAAATCCCGCCATATATTATAAACACACCATTGCAGCCTATGGCAGTTGACAAAAAATCTGCCACGCCATTCATCCATGGTGCCATCATTTAACAAAAATGGTGATCCAATACTTTAAGTTGGCAATTAGTGGAGTCAGAGGAATCTGTAAAATAGTACTTTGAAGTATGGGTCATGTAATAATTTCGTAATGCTAATTATTGTTTAAATTTGACTTGGAAGGGACTGTGTTTTGTAACCAATTAAGATGTTATGTTTAAGCATTTAATAGTGAAAAGGGAATAAAATTTGATGATATAGAAATAGAATTCATATGAAATATTATATCAGCGTTTATTTGATAGAGGGTGAAAAATATCCCTGGACGTCTCCTTTAATGATATTAAAACTCCAAATTCAATGTGTATGCATACTGGTTTATGTTAGGGCCCAAGAGGATGAGCTTGCCAAATATTAGAGGCTAGGAATGAGAGGCCTGGAGTGTGGAAAGTTTACTCTGAGGCAGCCAAAGAAGGGCCTTAAAGGAGTGAGTTGGCGATTTGTTAGAAGAGAGGGAAGGTGTGTGTGACATGTGCTAGGTCTGTTATTCAGGGAGGGTGCATTGGGTTGGGGGTGGGGGTAGCAGTGAGTTATGTCTTTTGAGTGAGAAAATAGTTTCTCATAGAGGGCATAGTCTCTCTGTGGTTGAGAGGTTGATCTCCACCAGAGTATTGTACTTGTTTTCCTTTCAGTTAATTGCAATACCACTGCAACTGTTTTTCTATTTCTGTTTCCTGAGAGCTCTAACAGTTTATCCCTTTACCCTTTTATATGCTAATTGCCAGCTAACGAGTTGAATGAGTTGGGTTGGCAATAGCTCAAACTGACTAATGTCTTGAAATTGTGGCTTGTGGTTTGCATATTTAGTTCACAAATTTCCTTATCAAACACATAATTGAGCTAAACTTTGGAATTCTCCCCTATCTGCACTTCTTTGTTTCAACTTGATGCTGTGTTTTCATTTCTGTTGTTTTCTGTCACTGTATGGTTCTTTCATTCTCCCTTTTTTTTTTTCCTTCTCTCCCTGATAGGGTTGAATATGCTATCTTTTATTTTAAATTTTTGCTGAAATGGAAAATTTGTAGTTTATCTAATGTGAACAGTTCATAATAACCTACTTCTGTTTTGACTTGTTGAGAAATATGAACTGTCCATTAAAGACAGTATAATCTGTTGGAGCATCAGATGTTAAGTTGATTTAACAATTGATGTTATGCTTTGGCATGCTATGTTTGTATTGCTTTCTTTTTGTAACTGAGTTTTTAGGCTTAATTGTGAAGGATGAAAACTCGGAGATGATCTCTTTATATAGTATCCTATATAATTTTGGGGACAGAATTGTTTTCTCTATGGAGCCTTCAGCACAAAACATTCCCCTGGAGGAGGTAATATGTTTTTTCATTCAGCTTGATTTGGATGTGATTCCTCCCCCCTGCTCCAGATGTAAGATACTAAGACTGCTTTTATTTTGTCCAGGGACGATGCCTTGATGTTAAATTAACATTGGATAAGATATGGATACTGAAGGATGATGAATTAGTATCACACGCGTTCTCTACAAATATTGACGAGTATGCAACATTTTCAGTTGTTCAATAGCAGGCTGTTCATTTAATTGTCATTTCAAAGTAGTTGTAGTATAAAAAACCTGGAATTATAACTCCAATGGTTTTAGCATTTTACTATTCAATTGGAAAGAAGGCAGTTGGTTTAAAAAACCCGTGTTGTTTAAAAAACTCAGACCATATAATTTGCTTTTGAAAACAGATTTCATCAATCCTATTGATTTACAAGTAGCCATCATGTTACTATTTTAAGTTAAATTTCTGAAAATTTGGATATTATAATCAAATAGTTGCTCACTTATATTTGAAAAAAAAATATACATAAATTATAATACATTTGAATTGTGGTATAAATCAATTTTGGGCTAATATGAAACTCATTTAGGAATATACAATGATGGGCACTTTTAATTTGGTCAATTGTGACTTTATGAAAAAAGTCATTATTCAATGTCTAAGATTAATTTTAATTTACACTGGTGTCAGAGGTTCTTAAATCTATATAGTGATATATCAAAATGATGATTAAAGGTCTTAACCCTACTATATGCAAATCCAGTGATTCTTCTTGCTTAATTGTTGTATCATGTTTTGTCAGGGTAGAAGCATTATCTTATGCTTTACAGGAAGAATTTGTTGCTGATCAACTATTTCAAAGTACTGAGCATCTTGCAGATGAAATTTTGCGGATCACACATTCAATATTTTCATCTTCGAAGGTATTACTTCATTTATAATTTTCATCTTGAAAGGTGTTGGAGGCTTTTTATTCCTTTGCTATTATCGGAAAAGGTGTACTTCACAGTTCGTTGAGTGCATCTATACACATTTGCTGCATTGCATTTGTGTATGTATATACTCAAATACATGTGTACTGGGCTTGCTTACTTCTAGTGATATTACATGAAGATGGTTACTCCCACTCTAAAAACAAGGTGGTGGTCTGCATCCAAACACTCTGTAAATAGTAATTTCATGCTCAAGCTTCATGGTTTAGGATATTTATATGTATCAATTTAAGTGGTTATTTTCATAGCTTTTGTGACATTTACACTGAAATGGGTTTATCAATATCTGTAAACGGTTGCCAGAAGCAACTTACCCTTCATGACTTCTAAAGCTTTAAAAAACATGGAAGATGAAATATTTGAAGGTTTGAACTACTTACCTGTGTTGGACTAAAAAGCTTGTGTATGAAATAGCATGTAAATTTTTACTGTGCTGGGAGTTCTCATATATTTAAAGATATGACTTGAAGAAGAAATTTATCAAGAGAAAGAGTATGACTCTCAGTTATTTCTATTTTGCAGGATGATATTTTGCCTTTTGTATCTTCTGTTTTCTTAAGAAGGTTGCTTCTTCCTGGGGTTCACCATAATGCTACTTTGTATGCAACTCTAGTTGAGTATAGCAGGCATTTGGGTGAATCTGAGCTACAAACATTAACTGCTGATGGGCTAAAAAAAGAGATACTTTCACTTATAGAACATGAGGTTATCATTGTCTTATTTATTTAATCTCTCTTTTCCCTCTTAAATTTTGGGAGGGGCAAATTGTGGTAAACTGACAAGATTGATATGTGGTAGGTTGGATCTGAAAAAGTGTCTTTATTGCACTGCTGGAAATGTTTTTTCACCCGCTATTTCCATAACTGGTGCAAGAACAATGCGTTATATGGTTTGCTTGTTGATTCCTCTTCAGATGCTGTTGGTTTAATCAGAAAAAATTCCATTTCACTTTTTCGGTCTTTGGAAGATATTGAACGGATTGTAGAAGGTAATTAATAATTATGGATACTTCTCTCTCTGTTCTCTCTCAATGGATTCTTATATTATTAAAATATTCTGGCTTTTTCTTAAATGATTTTAGTTAGTTAGCTAGCTCACTATAGTCAGTGCTTTGTTTTCTTATGCTTTCCTTAATATGACTATTGTTCCTATATTGTAGGCTCTTCGGATGAAGTTAGTGAGCTCACAGGCCTCGTGGATATATTTGATGATGATCTGGAGTGTGAAATTCTAATTGAATTGCTCAGATGTGTTGCAAGTTTCAGCCAACAGTTGGGCAAAACTGCTTCTTCTATATTTTATGAATCACTTTTAACTACAACAGTGGTCTCTTCTGAAGACATCGTTTGCTATATTGTGAAGATTCTGGAAACTGGATATTGTATGTCAAGTCCAGTGCTTCAAACTTCTACTTCTGGTGATCATATAGTAGTTCTGGAGAAGGAGCTAGCAGATCATAAAAGTTTGAGGAAACTTTCTGTTGATATGTTTTTGTCACTTCAAGGTTTGCACAAAAAGGCTTCTGCATGGGGCAGGATTTTAAATGTAATTGAGTGTTTCCTGAAATTTTTGGTTCCGCAGAAAGTAATACAAAAGTATGATACTGAAATGTCATCAAACATAAATTCTTCAGTTATAGTACATACTACATATCAGATTGCAAAGGTTATGTTTGAATCTGCCTGGGACTTTCTTCTATTTTTAAGCTATTTGGTGGACATCAGTGGTCAGGTGAGTTTATACTAATTTTTGTTTTCATGTTTATGCTCCTAAATGTAATGGTTTTCTCATTGTAAGTAAGCATCATTAATTGAAATTGTTTAATTAAATCAGATAGAAATTGCAAATCCTCACTTGTAGGTTGTTTGTGTTTGTTTTGTTGTCCTTTATTCGATAGTAAAATCTCAAAGTGCAATGCTTGATGTACTTGAACTTGGATTAATGTTTTGTCAATTCTCGAGCTGCTGGCAAACTAATCCACTAAAGTAATTGAATACAATTATGGTCACTTTGATTTATTTTTTGCTGCCTTTGCACTGTGTTTCCATGCCCATATTGATGGGAATTTTCTTGTTTACATGGATATGATGAATCACATGTTAAATATTGTCTATGTCTATGTCTATTACTGCCATATTTGAATAAGTTCCAAAGCTTTCAGTTGAGAGACGAGGGTTAGGAATTCTGGGCAACAATACATGTTAATGTTGATTGATTTTATTTTATTTCCAATCCCATGAAATAATAACATTGAGAATCTGAGTGGCGATCACTACTAAATATGTTGTGATTTTTTTTTAAATGCAGGTCCATTTGTCACATGATGATATAAACAAAGTACAGCTTGAGTTAGTTCCAATGCTTCAGGACATTATTTTTGAATGGCTAATCATCATCTTCTTTACCATCACACCAACTGCAGCAGCTGTAACTGAGGATTTCAATTCTAAACTTTCGTCATTACAAATAGGTAGGTTGCGTAATGTATTTATATAATTTGTAGCTGGGAGTAGTAGGGAGTGGGATTCAACTTTGTTAGAAAAGGGTAAAACATGGTAGTGGCTGTGTTGTAAAGGAAAACTTTTGGAGGGGCGATCTTTCTCCTTGTTCTGTTTATCTTCAGTCAATCCCTAAAATCACTTTTTTCCCCCATTTTTACTGAGTTTGTAACATTTACAGTTTGGCTTATTGAATTGAATATGTATAAGCCATACGGCTGATATTGTGTTAAACTTTTTCTGCATGATACAGATAACAACATGGGGAAACGATTATGGAATGATAAGCTTGGCAGATGTGACTTTACATTGGCTTTTATTTTCTTGCTAAATGTTGGAAGTTCATCCTTAGACCATAGCCACTTCTATTCAGAACGTTTTTCAAACGTGCAGAGCTTTATTAATAGGACAAGAGACTTCATCAGTTGGATCATTTGTGGCCAGGCTGGAGGATCTTCTACTTTCTTGAGTCGTTCTATTGATCTTGCATTTATCCTTTTCAAGCATGACCAGTATGGTGCTGCTGAGGTTATTTACATGCCTTTTTTCTTCCAGAATGGGATATTGGTCTATTCCATTCCTTTCTTACTCTGTAGTTATCTTTACTGAAAATATCTTATATTTCAATTTACAAATGTTTCAATAGCAATTGCTTACGATTGCGGAAGCACATTTACTAAAGGAGAAGACATCTCAAAGTATTCAAGATGCTGATGGTGGATGGTGCATACGTCATCATCTTCTAGGATGTTGCCTACTTGCAGAGGTGCAGTGTGGATTACATGGAACCCAGAAGGATAAAAAAGTTTCTGATGCCATTCGCTGTTTCTTTAGGTATAACAACTCACCTTTGAAATATTTATTTTTATTATTATTTGCATCATGTGGTCATACATAATTTAAAAATGCAACTTTTATTTTTCATTTTAAGCCTGTATTTTGATTACTGAGTTAAGTTATATTGTTTAATTTCCACTTAATTGAGGTTTAAGATACTATGTTGATTGGAGAAGGCTGTGTAAATTGTGTGATCATTTCATAAATCATATAATCTTAAGTTCAAAATTATATTTAAACATACACACGCCCATGCTTATAAAAGAAATAACCTTAGAATCACAATTATAATTTAATTAAACCTAATTGAAAATGCATGATAGATAAAGAAGGAGTAGATTGAAGTGATTAGGGTGATATCAACTGTCAGGGAGAAAGAAGGCAACAAAATTTATGTGTTTTAAGCTCTGCATATTTGCTTATGGTTCTTAGAAGTATGACCCACAACTGTTGGTGTTTAATTCAGGTCTTCATCAGGAAATGGTGCATCTGTAGCTCTGCAGAGTTTATCTGATGACTTAGGAATTCCATATCTTGGTTTTAGTGAGTATCTCTGTAGCTGAATTCTAACGATCTTAAACAAACAAATAAACTTGAGTTTTAATTGCTTATTACTTGTGGTTTTTATGCAGGTGGTTGTACATCAATTGCTGAATGGAAGCTTCAATACTATCAATGGGCAATGCAGTTATTTGAACGTTATAGCATTAGTGAAGGTGCTTGCCAATTTGCTCTTGCTGCACTCGAGCAAGTTGACGAGGCTCTACATATGAAAGATGAAAAGTACTTGAACAACTCAGTTAATGAATCAGTGACAACCATCAAGGGACGACTATGGGCAAATGTTTTCATATTTGCATTGGACCTTGGTCGATATTATGATGCATATTGTGCAATAATTTCAAATCCAGATGAGGAGAGCAAATGCATCTGCTTGAGACGATTCATAAACATTCTCTATGAACAGGGAGCCATAAAGGTTGGACAAACTATGATAGACCCTTCTGACTTTTCTTTGTTGATTGATCTCTACTTAATGTTTTCTTAAGGTTGATGCTTAAAATAGAATGATATAGATATCAAACTTTACTGCTACTGTCTTCAAAGGTTGATTACAATAATATTAATCAGTGACAATTGAACTGGGTTTTTAAATTCAATTATACAAGCTTAACCCTGATACATCATTTTGCAAAGATGTAATTCATAAATGTATGCAAGTCTCTGCATATCAGTTATTATTTTCTACAAATGATATTTTGGTATATTTCCAATTTATTCCACTGTATCTGTTATGATTCCTGTACTTTTCTAGTTAAAAACAGTGTGATGTTATTCCTCACTTAACATGCGGGGTTATATGTAATATCTAATACATTTTGTGTGTTAAAGGATAGTGCATTTCAATCATTTCCTCCAGGAATTTTATACTTTTCCTTTCACATTTTTTTGGTTAAGTTTCCATTCTCTAATTTTAATTAGTATTGCTCCCTCATCTTTATTTTTTTTATTCTTTTCAGATACTTTGCAGTAATAAACTTCCCCTTATAGGTTTAGTGGAGAAAGTGGAGCAAGAGCTTGCTTGGAAGGTATGCCCTAGCTGAACAATTTTGAGTGCTGTTAATTTTGAAGTTTTCTTCAATATATTTAATTTCTCCCATGTAATAATATGTAGGCTGAACGATCAGATATTTCTGCAAAGCCAAACTTGTATAAGTTGCTTTATGCATTTCAATTGCACCGGCATAACTGGCGGCGAGCAGCAAACTACATATACATGTATTCAGCTCGTTTGAGAACTGAAGCAGCTTTGAAAGATAGTGTAGGAAGTTCCTTGATGTTGCAAGAGAGGCTGAATGCACTCTCTGCAGCAGTCAATGCACTGCATCTTGTTCATCCTGCATATGCTTGGATTGATTCATTGGCTGAGGGAAGTTCTGTCGTGAATGAACATTATCCAAGTAAGAAAGCTAAAAGAACCCCAGATGAACTTTGTAAGTAATTCAACAACAAAAGTTACGCTGGTAGTTAAGAAGTTAGCATCTCATTATGAATTATGATGTTATATCAACATTTTTACTTATCCAATAAAAGAATAAAATGTGCAGCAGCAGAATTTTATTTTATTTTATATTTTTTTTTATATTTCTATACATTGGATATTCTGTTCTTCACAATTGTACTTCTATAGTCTTTTTAAGAGGGTCTCTCTTGCAGATATGTTGAAGGATTGAGTAGCTTTGTTTCAATTTCATTAATACTTTTGTTGTTCTCTTTTGTTTATTTTTTCTTTTTTGTTTAGGAGGATCTTACCTTACTCTTTATAGTTCATAATCATCTTTTTTTTTGATGAATTTCTTCTTTATCATTAAAAGAATTGTACTAATTTTTATTTTGTTTTTTTGGAATGGTGGTGACACTTTATTTTCTTTAACTTTTCAGCAGCAGCTGATAATGATGTGGAGCCTCAAGGCTGGACGTCCTCTATTGATATTGAAAAACTTGAGAACGAGTTTGTTCTAACTTCAGCAGAGTATATGCTGTCACTGGTAAATGTCAAGTGGACATTTTCTGGTAAGTCCTTTGTCTTTTCAATTGTCTGTGAAGCATATGGATGCTTCCATGGTGACTCTGATGATATTAAGTTTCAGTGTGCTTTGTATTTTTCATTTCATACATTTTGGAACAAGTTTTTACCCCCCTTTTCATTTTAAAGGAAAACATGGAGCTCTATCAGACTTTGCTGATATTCTTGTCCGGAACAATTTTTATGATATGGCCTTCACAGTCCTTCTCAAATTTTTCAAGGGTTCTGGATTGAAGAGGTGTACATCTTGTGCCTAAGTTGCCTGCAAATACACACACACGCACCCACACATATATCTGTGTCTAGTCATACTTATGTACATGACTTGGTTTCTTCTTTAGGGAACTGGAAAGAGTTTTATCTTCTATTGCATTGAAATGCTGTCTTGATAAAGTGGAATCCACTTGGGTTGAGTATGTGACCTATTCCTTACCATTCTTTTTAAAGAACTTTATATTTATTGTAAATTGTTGAAATAAGATGCCTGACTTAGCTTACTAGTCATTATGATGGCTTTAAAATTTGTGCATTTATTATTGTTATTTAGTAATTTGATAGCTTTCAAAATTTTCTCTACAGTGCTCCTGTCACTATGAATTGTATAATTTATGTTTTTTGTGATTTCAGGGAACACAGTCATTTATTGACATCAGCAAAGCATGATATGGTTGTTCATGGTTCCCCTATTACAGTTCCAACAATTCCACCAACTGACAGAAATAGTTGTTGGGCAACTCTTAAGCTTTACCTTGTACGTATCTTCTGCTAGTTATAATGTGTTGGCCCTTAGTCGTTTTTACATTTTTATGCTTCAGTTATTCATAACTGGTTTTTCACTTTGCCATGTTCAATGAATGAAGGGTATTCCACTAAACATATGGGCATTTCTAGCAGTTGTGTGATGGTTAGGGAAAGATGGGAAAATTTCGTGCAAATGTAGATTGTGATTTGATGTATCAAGTTAGAAAGAATGTTAGTTTTTTCAGCAAACATTATTGTTATTGTTATTATTATTGAGAAAGAAATTTATTTAGAAAGATATTTTTTCTTCTAATCATTAATATTTTGCTTGGAGCTAGGATGGTGTCATTTTCGTTTGGCTTTCTTTTGATCTGTATCTGGAACCTATAATATAATGGACATCTTGTCTCTTAAGTTGAGATTCTAGTATTTTTTACTCCTACATTTAAAGAGTTGGGAGGAACTTAAACCCCTAAAAACTTGTGGTATTAGAATCAGTTTCTACACTCCACCATGTCAGCAGGATGACATTCATTTGAATTTCATTCAGCTCTGTAGGTGGTTACAGATGAAACTTTTCCCCTACTAAGACATTGCCTTGTACAAGTCTCTTCATAGTTCTTTTAACTGGGATAAAATTTTGTCATGTTATTGTGTGTGGGATTATTTAAATCAACATGTGTAGCTTTTATTTGCATTTTTGGGTCCCTGGTTCACTCTTTCTTTAAATTTGCTCCCTCTTTCTTTAAATTTGCTCCTAAAATGCAGGAAAAGTATAAGGACTTTCATGGTAGATTACCGATTATTGTTGCTGAAACACTCCTACGTGCAGATCCTAAGATTGAATTGCCTCTTTGGCTCGTTCAATTGTTTAAGGTAATTTTCTTGTCTGAAAACTACAGTTGCTGATTGGGGTTCATTGATGCAAGAGTGCCTACATGTTTAAAAATCAGTATTGGTAGCATTTCTACAAAACATATCATATAATTCCTGTTTCCGAATCTATCTAAAATTTCCTATGAATCCCGTGAAACTAAATAAAATTCCCCTGAAACTATATAAATTACTAGACTGGTTGCATGCATCTGCTATACAAAATACAAGGGATGCCTTTTTCTATTATCAAGCAGCCTTGACTTCTATGATATAGGATGTGGTACAATTGCTGATACTGTTTGTGACTTGTGACAGGAGGGCCAAAAGGAAAGGTTGTGGGGGATGACTGGCAAGGAATCAAATCCTGCATCTTTATTTCAGCTTTTTGTTACCTATGATCGATATGCAGAAGCTACTTCTCTTTTGCTTGAGTGCATAGACTCATTTGCCTCAATGGTAAATTATTTTTACTCTTACTAACGGTCAATTTTATATGTTTCGTATGTTCAGCTGGTATATGATATCTCTAGACAATTAAATATTTTTAACACCAGACTTCTCAACATGAGTTGTGTTTGTCTACCATTTTGTAATATATTTTACTCAACGGAATATTTTTGTCTTGTCATGGAAATTGATAATGTTAGTTAAAATTGAAATTTATTTTACAGATTTCTGTTTACCAATGTCTGATATTTGTTGTCACATTTACACTATACTGGAAAATTGTTCTTGTTAATGGACTTCATGGTACAGGTTGAAGGATTTTTTACAGTTTAAATGTTACTTAATGAATAATTAGAAACAGTTCATTAAGATACGTTGAGAGTGGGACTTTGGAGGGAATAGGAAGGGGAAGATTTTCATTTCTGAACTGAGTATTGTTAACATGGAAGCAGTTCATTTGGATTGGTGATTTATGTGAGAGGCTTGAACAGTTGGATTATGGGTGCATGGTCTGTTTGGAGGTTAATGTTGGTGCTGAAAAATTTGATTGGGGCTTGTAGTCTCTGAGCAACTATAGTGCTGAAATTTTGATGTGGTTTAATATTTTTGGTTTTGTTAAGGGGTTCAAGATTTATGAGGAAGGTTTTTGGCTCCTATTTTGTGTTAATGGGACATCAGGGAAGGTTGTGTTTCAGGAGGGGTGAGTCTGTAGTTATTCTACCCTCATGAATTTTGTGACCATTGGCAAGTTTGGATCTATCAATGTGGACATTCAAACTATTCTTTCTTCTCCTATGTTCGAGCTAGGGTGCCATGGGTTTGCAATGGGGTGTTGCGGATATACATCCCTCCTATGTGAGGCTAAGAGCAAGAGTGCCTTGGGCTGTCTTTCTGGCCATTGCCAACCAGGTAGGTGCAACCGAGGATGTCAAGGGTTAAGGAGCATGAGTTATTCTTTTTGACATTGGGTAGTACAGGCTTTGTTCTTCTTTATGCTGTGTTTGGAGTGATGATTTTCTCGTGATAATTTCCTATTAAAATGGGTTGGAATTTCTTATCTTGTCATTGACATTCATGATTTTTTTTTGGTGAAGCATTGACATTCATGATATAGTATGATGGCAACTGGAAAATTTATGTAACACTTGATGTAACAGTAGTGAAGTTTGTCCATTACGTATTTAATAGTATTTATTATGTTCTGCAGAGACCAGCAGATATAATTAGAAGGAAAAGACCATTTGCTGTTTGGTTTCCATACACAACTATTGAGAGGCTACTGTACCGACTCGAAGAATTAATCAGAATGGGTCACATGGTAGATCATTGTGACAAGCTCAAAAAGGTGTTACATGGTTCCTTACAGAATCATCTGAAGATGGTAGGCTAATGTCTTCCTTTTGTATTTTATTTTTTCTGTTGCTTGGCACATGTGTTCATATCTGCCAATTTATTTTTCAGTTGAAGGTGGACTCAGATGATGCTATCTCTGTATCTTGATTGCTTTCTTATACTGACAACTGGATGTTGTAGACAATAGTGTGTTCACAGTGCAGTCAACTACTTGCTGTGTTAACTGGTTTGTCTTTTGTTTTTTACCACCACTATCGTTTCCCTTTACTTTTAGTTACTCAATTATGGTTTATTGATGTGATGATTTCTCTGTTGAACAGCATAATGTCCAGTAAAAAGGCCTTGGCACGGAATGTTGAAATTTTGGGATGAAAAAGCCATGGCAGAAGAGGGCATTTCCATTTCCTTTGCAACAGGAACAGGAACAACAAAAATAACCGAATGATGGCCACCGCAGGAATTGGACATGTAGTTCTTAAATTCCATGTCCATGAACATCAATGTAAAATTTGTATATGATTTATCTACAGGGAATTTCGGACAAGGATGACTGACCTTTTGTTTGATATGGGTGATATCCAGAATCATTCTGTATGGATTTGCGCAAAAGTAGTCCAACTGATTACAAGGAGATTCAGTATAGAATGACTAGTGGTTGAATATCTTATGTTTTTTCCCCACTGAAAGTTGCGAAAAAATGTTTACCCAAATCCAATTAGAGAACGGCATGATCTGATTTGATGTCCATAATTTGTAATCTATATTGGCATAATTTGTCCCAACCCACTTGCTAAATTGCCAGTTCAAAAGATCCCTTTGGTTTTGTTGTTGGCGATGTATGTGTCTTGGTTGTAATGACATTCGTTAAACATTAGTGATTGACATCTTACTGAGTTGTAAGACCTTCTAAGCATAGCAATTTCTTGAACTCGAAAGTAAATTTGATTATTATTCATTCAATATAAATTTGAATTTCTCGTCAAATTGTTACTATTTAAAAATCAATGTCATTCCCTAACCCAAGATGTTACTTTTAATCAGTGCATAGGCAATATATGCAGTGTTATTAGTTCATTAGTGTAAAATTAATTTTAACTACAAATCATTGTTGATACGATTTTTGATGTGAAGTGTAAAAATCAAATTTATCATAAAAGACCATCTGTATTGGGAAAATACTAAAACTCTTACCATGTCAATACATCTAATTGCAAGGATACTCTAGAGGAGATTGATTGAGCAAACGCGCTCAAATTTTAGCATTGGATCATCCATTTCCTGCAGCACAATTGACTCAGGTTTTCCTCATATCTACGAGTTGCACGTGGCACCGTTTACAACAGTAAGAGATTAGAAATTAATTGATAAAATAGTTTGTTGATAGTTATATATGTTTAATAACTTTAAAAATAATAATATAATCTTAATAATTTCTTTTATGATAAACACAATTTTGAAGATGATTGATTAAAAAATAGTTAATTATTTTAATTAAAATTTTATTCTTTTTTGTGCAACATTCGATTTAAATATCAAAGTAATTAATTAAAATAGTTTACACCAATTTTGTAATTTATATAAAAACTAATTACTTGGGTTTATCCAAACCAAATAACTTATCTTAAAATCACTTTTTACTTGATATATCCAAACACTACTTATTTAATAGACCGATTATTAAAATCATCAGTAAATCCAATTCTAACACGCTAAAATGCTGCTTTCCTACATTTCATCTTAAACAATTAGAGAAATTAAACAAAAATATAGCATTCGAAATATAATATTGCTTTTGTTGTAATATAATAACAAGAACTATATTTTATAACACCAGCTCCTAAAACAATTGTCCCACATACTACCAAAAATAAGTTTACATAGACATCAGCTTTGGTCCATTGTCTGGCATACCCATGCCTGCAGCTAAATCGGCATCAAGTTGAGTATGTGGTGCAGGACCCATCATTTGTTTCACACTGCACAAAGGAACTGCGATATCAGAAGAAATATCATACTACTCCAATATATATAAAGTGAGAAAAATGTGCCACGGTGCTTGTAGTTCAATTGGCATGATTTAAATCCTTTAAGACTATAGTGTGTGATGTTAACGTCATAGGTTTGATCTTCTACAACGTTATCTTTCTTCCTCTCCTAACTCTCACTCAATTTCCCAACAACCTGATACCAACATATTGGGGGTGAAAACTTGCTAAATTATTCATCTAGTGATTCTAGTCAAAGAAAAGTGCCACCAACACCCTATATTGAAGACACCATGTGCTTCAGAAATTGTCTTTTTTATTTTTTTAACTTACTTGACCAAGTAAATGTTTGAAATAAGGTGTGCTGATAGCATTCCTTTTTTAGTTAAAATGTGCAAATGTATAGAGACTTACTTGAAAGTTTCCAAATAGTTTAGAGACCTACTTAGTAATTTAACCTTAATAGAATTTATGTGTATACTTAGCAGGGAAAAACTCCTTTTAAGGGGAATAATTCACAAAAGGGCATGCTGAGGTAATAATATTTAGGACTAAGAAAAGTAATTAATCAAGTCATTAAACTGAATAAGAGTTAACCACGTGCATGACTTCATTAACCACTTCCCATCCATAATCTATACTGGGCCTTCCAGCTCCTTGATTTCCCCTTTTGTTACACACCCTAGAAGAAGCATAGATTTCATCTCGATTAAGGCTCAATTTCAATCTATTTTATCTAAACAAGTTTGAGTTTACTAGTATTATGTTCAACTCCACTCAATTATCCCTATTAATAACCAAGATATGCTCCTTTCATAGTGTCCAATTGCTTTATGTGTTCACACGACTGAAAGCTGATACTTAAGAACACATGTAGGCCTCAAAACTCAAAAGCAATTCTATAAACCTAATTAATCTTCATAAATATAAATATGGGAAGAATGTAGGATAGGATTCAAAATGAAGGGGTTAAAAAACAGGAGCACAAGCAAAAGCAGCATACCGCTTCTTGTGTCGTTTGGTCTTAAAGTGCTCATCCCTTACAGCTACATTGGAGAAGTATCGACTGCAAAAATCAAAACAATATTAACTCATAACACATAATAAAACCTACACAACCAAATATGAGAGAGAAAAAAGGAGCTGGAGACAAATACTTCAGCACCCTAAACAATAATAATAAAATGAAATTAAGGAACAAATGATTTTTCTCCCATTGTGCTCCAAAACGGAGAAGGCCCCAATAAGATAAAAACCTACCCCAATTGAAACAGCAAGCAGAAAACCCTAGTGATGCTAACTAGAAAATACATTAGCTGAGGAAGTAGCCTTATTGGGCAAAATTAAGGTAATGGGTCCTAAAGTGCAGCATATCAAGGAACTCATCTTAAATAACCGGAATAACAAAATCTCTGCTTTCTCTCTCCTATATTATTCCCCTTCAACCCTTTTTCTCTTCTGTTCCTACCACCCACACTTCCCATTCTAGTGTTGCAGCCACACCCCCAAACTTTACAACCCCATGTTACAGAATCATCAAATTTACAAACTTTATACACATTGATAAAAAAGGCAGAAAAATATAGGAATAAAAAGAAATTACTCGCAGTGGAGACAATAGTACTGGCCCATCCCAGGCAAATCTTCATCTAGAGGTAAAGGGGGTCTTTCTTCATCGGTTTTATTAAGCTGCGCATAAACCATGTCGTCCCCTTTAAGCTCAAATTTTGTACGGCGCGCGGTTTTGTGAGAATATCTTCTTTTCTTCACATGCCGGTGCGGACATTTGCCTCCCATTCTTAGCTTTTCTGAATTGTTAGGGTTTTTCAGCTCTGATTTCACTTCCTATTAGGGTTTTCCCTTTCAACGCAAGGAAGCACGAAACGACGGCGCTTCAAATGTCTCTGCTTAAACAACAGATAGACTTTAAGTGGCGTCTTTGCCTATGGACCCATGGTGGCTATAAAGGATTAAAATGGGTTGGCCCATATCTTCGATGAAATGAGTTTTTTGTTTTTTTTTTTGTTTTTTTTTTCCGATGAGGAGTTTAGTTGCAGGCTCATGATATATACATCTCCTTCTTTTTATAAGTACACCTCCTTTTTAAAAAAAATTATAAAATATTATAATTTTTTGATCTTCCTTCAACATCGATCTCTCCATCTCCATGACTATGCGATTCTTCCTCTCTAACACACCATTTTGTTGTGGAGTATATGCGACTGTAAGTTGTCGCTCTATGCCTTCATCTTCGCAAAATTTGTCAAACTCGCAAGATGTATACTCCTTGCCACGATCACTTCTAAGTACTTTTATTTGTTTTCCACTTTGTTTTTCAACAAGGGCCTTGAATTTCTTAAATATTCCAAAGACTTCTGACTTTGTCTTCAGAAAATAGACCCATGTCATTCTAGAAAAGTCATAAATGAAGAGGATGAAATACCTGTTGTTGGTGTGTGATGGTGTCCTCATCGGTCCACAAACATTTGTATGAATTAGCTCCAACAAGTCCTTGGCTCTCCATGCTTTACTTGTCGAGAACGACAATCGGTGTTGCTTTCCAAGAAGGCATCCTTCACACGCTTCATTATTTTCCTTTAGGCTAGGTAGATCTCTCATCATACCTTTTTGATGTAGAAGCTTTAAGGCATGAATATTGAAATGGCCAAATCTCCGATGCCAGAGCCATGAGTCATCAACTTCTACATTCATGGCAATATTAGTGCCACGGTTGAAGCTTAAAGGAAAGATTCTATTTCTCTTTTCCATTTTTACTTGGCCAATCTCTACCCTTTTACTATCATAAATTTTGCATATATCTCTTTCAAAGTGAAGAGAATACCCATTTTCCATCATTTGGCCAATGCTTAAAAGATTTTCTTTAAGATTTGGAACTAGTAGCACGTCTTTGATGAGTCTCGTACCTTTCTTTGTCTCCACCACGACAGTGCCTTTGCCTTGAGACTCCACCATGGTGCCGTTTCCTAGTCGAACTTTGACTTTGACGGAGTTATCAATGTCTTTGAAGATGTTTTGGTCCTTGGCCATGTGATTGCTACATCCACTATCCAAGTACCAGCTTCCATCTCCGTTGTCACAAAATTCTTGGTTAGCATAGAACAGACGTTGCTCTTGATTATGCTCTTC